CCTCCCGTGGTCCCTGAGGGTTTCCAGGTGGGACCTCCGTTTCTGCTGCCGCCGCCTCCTCCGGAGAAGATCCTCCGAGCAGGACCTCATCGCTGCGCTGCCGTTTCACGTCCCCTTCCAAGCGAGAGCCAACTTCTCTTTATCCTCCTGCGAGAGGACCACCAAGAACGTGTCCTCCATGTCCACCATCGCCATCCGTGGGGCGCAGCTGCATGTAACGCAGCTGTTAACCTTGCGATATTTGGGCCGGCCGCTGTTAACGAGGCGCTGCTAACGAACGCTCAACCGCCGCCTCCCGCCTGCTTTCCGAACCGGACCGGCCGGCTGGGGTTGTACGAGGAAGCAGGTTCTGGAGCTCGTTCGTCGTTCCTCCAAACGGGCTCCGGCTTCGGAAATTGCAGCCCAGGTCGGTTGTGGCCGAACCGGGCAACGCCGCGGGACTCGGGCGAAGGACACGGGCTGGAGCCTCCCGGCGTCTACCGGCGTCGGGGTTGGGGGGGTCGATGCTTGAGCTGAAGGACCACGTGCTGCCACCCGGCAGGTGCCAGGTTCGTCCAATTGAAACGTCGAGACCTACAATAGCTCCGTTGGGGTCTTCAGCTGCAAAGCGAGCGGTCGGCACGTGTGGTTGGGTTCCTCAGCTCTTGGGTCGTCCCGGCTCTTGGGTCATTCCAGCCCTTGGGTCACCCCAGCTCTTGGGTCACCCCAGCTCTTGGGTCGTTCCAGCCCTTGGGTCACCCCAGCCCTTGGGTCACCCCAGCCCTTGGGTTGTCCCAGCCCTTGGGTCGTTCCAGCTCTTGGGTCACCCCAGCCCTTGGGTCACCCCAGCCCTTGGGTTGTCCCAGCCCTTGGGTCGTTCCAGCTCTTGGGTCACCCCAGCCCTTGGGTCACCCCAGCCCTTGGGTTGTCCCAGCCCTTGGGTCGTTCCAGCTCTTGGGTCACCCCAGCCCTTGGGTCGTCCCAGCTCTTGGGTCGTCCCAGCCCTTGGGTCGTCCCAGCTCTTGGGTCGCCCCAGCTCTTGGGTCACCCTGGCTCTTGGGTCGTCCCAGCTCTTGGGTCGTCCCAGCTCTTGGGTCACCCCAGCCCTTGGGTTGCCCCGGCTCTTGGGTCACCCCAGCTCTTGGGTCACCCCAGCTCTTGGGTTGTCCCGGCTCTTGGGTCGTCCCAGTCCATCTCCCGGCCGTGTGTGAATTCGTGGTCGCCCGGTCTCCCGTTGCATCCTGCCGCTGATCCGTTCGCAGAGGACGACAGCAGCTCCGTTGCCTCTCTGTCCTTCCCTTTGCGGCGTTAGGTCCTGCTCCTTTCTAGTCCCGTCCTCCCTCTCTTGAGATGCGCCTTCCAAGCAGGTGCCCAGCGTCTTGCAGATGACACCTGTCCCTTTTCTCTCCCTCGTGAGGCCCTCGGTTACCCGTAGGGGTTCTCCAACAGCTTCCCAGTTGTGCCCATTGCCAGGAGCCCGTTCTTCTGAGAAGGTTGACCGCCACCTCCGTCCGTTGGGTGCCGCGTCTCACCCGAAGGTTGACCGTCACCTCCGTCCATTGGGTGCCGTGTCTTGGAGGGTTGGTTCTGGCTGGCTTTGCCGTCGCGTCCTCAGCGACGTCCCTCGAGCTCGTTTCCATCTCACTCCTGCAGCCTGGGGCCTTCATCTACTTGAGACCCTGGTGCTGAGCTGGGCGAGAGCTAAATTAGCTCCCTTTATCTAACACCCGGACGCCTGGGCCCCTTCCACAGACCCGGACACCTGGGCCCCTTCCATGGCCTGGACACCTGGGCTTCTTCCACAGACCCGGACACCTGGGCCCCTTCCATGGCCTGGACACCTGGGCTTCTTCCACAGACCCGGACACCTGGGCCCCTTCCATGGCCTGGACACCTGGGCTTCTTCCACAGACCCGGACACCTGGGCCCCTTCCATGGCCTGGACACCTGGGCTTCTTCCACAGACCCGGACACCTGGGCCCCTTCCATGGCCTGGACACCTGGGCTTCTTCCACAGACCCGGACACCTGGGCCCCTTCCATGGCCTGGACACCTGGGCTTCTTCCACAGACCCGGACACCTGGGCCCCTTCCATGGCCTGGACACCTGGGCTTCTTCCACAGACCCGGACACCTGGGCCCCTTCCATGGCCTGGACACCTGGGCTTCTTCCACAGACCCGGACACCTGGGCCCCTTCCATGGCCTGGACACCTGGGCTTCTTCCACAGACCCGGACACCTGGGCCCCTTCCATGGCCTGGACACCTGGGCTTCTTCCACAGACCCGGACACCTGGGCCCCTTCCATGGCCTGGACACCTGGGCTTCTTCCACAGACCCGGACACCTGGACACCTTCCATGGCCGAGAGACCT